AGTCTCAAGGCCTACCCCCTCCTCGGCTGTGCCACCTCAGCGCTCCACCTCTACCCTGGCTGCGCCCTCTAAGCACCCCGCCTCAACTTCGGTCACGCCGCCACAGCGCCCTTTGGACGAAGGCGCTGCTCCAACGGAAGTGCAACAGCTACCTTCTCCTCCAGCCAAACAAAAGGAGAAGCATAAGCATTCAGAGCTGGAAAAACCCTCCGGCCATAAGAAACCGAGGAAAGAAAAGGTCGCTAAGGCGGCCCACAAAGGCAAGAAACCTGATCGCCCCAAACACGGAGGCTTGGGTTCGTTGGGGTTCTCAGTACCAACTGCCGGCATGGTACCAACTCCCTTGGGACCGGCCCTGCAATCCGCAATGCAGGTGATGCCGCTGGGATCCCCCAGGCCTGTTCCTTGGCCTGAGAGCGTGTGTCCTCCACAGGAGCCACTGCTTAGGGAGTCCATCTCTGATGGAGAAATTAGAGATTCCCCGCCGAGGCAGTGCTCCCCGACGCCAATGCCTGCTGTTGGGCCACCTGAAGGAGCAGATTCTCCTCCTAGGCGTAGGAGCCGTTCATCGGAGCGCCATGCATATGACTGGTCTATGCACGGCTATGGTGGCTGTCCTGCCTGGAGTGGACTCCATCCATATGCCTTTTTTCCTATGGACCGTCATTCGGCGTTGATCCCGAGAGAGGCACTGTCCACTTCTGGCCGTACGGGACGCAGACCTCCACCATCTCCTGAAAGCTCCTCTTCCAGTGGGCATTACCGCTACCATCAAGACTCGAACGAGTCGGAAGTAGACTCCACATCTCCGGACATGGCTATTACTTCCCAAGACCCAGGATCCCCGGATAAGTCCCATGTCTCTTTCTCGGAGCTGGTTTCTTGTTTAGTTCAGTCGCTGGAGATAGAGGTCTACCACCACCCCGGGCCCAGCACAGACCGATTTTACAACATCGTCCAAGGGGAGCAATCTGCTAGCGTTGCTTTACCGCTGATCACCACGCTTCACCAGGCAATGGTTCAGCCCTGGGACCAACCGGCTCAGCCACAGGCGACGTCTCGCCGGTACGAATCTATGTACCGGATCAGAGAAGACGACATTCCGTTCCTGCTGCGCCACCTGAAGCCTAATTCGGTGGTGGTTGAGTTGTCCCAGGACAGGGAGGCTTGGGGACATACAACACCCCGAGATAAAGAAGGGAGGAAGGTCGACATGATTGCGTGCCGGGTCTACGTGGCTGCAGGACTCGGTTTGCATATTTCAAATTATGAAGCTACACTGGCACGTTACCAGTACTTCATAATGCAGAAGCTGGATATCGTCGTCTCCTCCCTCCCGGA